CATACAGTTGCTTATTAACAATAAATGTGCACTATCATTTAATGTGGTCAAATAATTCTGTTTATTTGTGAGACCTTAACAGCATTTCATTTTTTTTTACAGTGAGACAGTTTAACGTTTTGCCACACGGAGAAAAAAAATCATTGATTTTAAGAGTGATTGTTAAAAAACAATGCAATTCGCAGGTTCTAAATATTCGAGCATTGCATCTTTTCCCTGTGATGTTGCATTTTTCATTTAACTCCACCTTGAATCCAGATTTTTAAGGCTATTTATTTCGAAACATAAGTTAAAGCCATTTATTGAAATTAAATAGGATATTGAAAAAAAATGAAAGGAATTACATATCGAATTTTTATAACTAATTGATTTTTTCACTATGCTGGTTTCTGCAAACAATATTTAAGTCAGGTTTGTAACTCTAGCTTTTCTGTGCTGCTATTCGTCCTCTAGTATCTCTCTTTCATCCCGTCTCGCTCTACATATCCCTCTGATACACGGCGATTTTTCTGACTAGCTTTAAATCTACTTGAACAGAATTTATAACAACTGATAAGTCGCGATAAACATGTAAATGTTATTTATAGCGATTTCGTAATAGAGTTTCTCACTTTCTTAATATTAGAATAACCTCAGTGGTTTGACCAGTACATGGAATTAATATTATTCGGCCATGAACTGCAAAATTTAAAGGACCGTCGTATTTGTTAACTAACTCAAACGCGTAAGCTGAAGCTTAGAATAATCTAAGCCTATCCATTGCAAAAGGATTTCACCTAAGATTCATAACATCTTCAACTCTCTATGTCAGCATGAAAACTTTAACGCTGCGTAAGAGACTTTAATAATTAGAAGTAAGAAAAAAAACGTATAATAAAACAAGAACTATAAAGCAGATAACATTTAAAGCAAATTCACATTGTAAACATAAATGTAAAAGAGATTTATATCTTCGTAAAAGCTGCTAAGTTAGATCAATTAATTCAATAACATATTCGGTTTATACAGCCAAAAAAGCAATGATATTTCATTATATTTACCAAAATTACCCGTGAACACTTTTCAAAATTATTTGAAAAAAAATTGTAATAAGAATTATATTGAAACAACACAAACTATTTTAAGTATATTTGGAATCAAAATATCGTTCAATTTCATGCAAATCTTTATTCAACTGGTAAAAAATGCACGTCAAAAGGAATAAATCCTGATTTTGTGGTTGCAAATCACCTTTACCCTAATAGTAATTGCTTATCTTCAACTGTTGAAATAAATTGTATAAATTTCAATGTGGCCAAAATTTTGGCGCCGGAATTAATATAGCTAATTTTTTGCTGATAGAAATTCAATATCGGTCGATCGATTTATAAATTTCGCCATGAATATGTAGTTTCAATAATGATATATCGGTTTAATTCAATTAAATTTTTACATATAAGGATTTTTTTAAAGAAAAATGATCATTTTTTTAAAAGTCTGTATCTACTTCAATAAATAGAAGGTGTTGGAACATTTCTAATTTATAGTTTCTCAATAGTCATGTCTGGTGTCGTTTGATCAAATCTTAAAAAATAACAGATACATATCAAAGGTTTAAATAGTAGAGACAAAAATGTGATTTATTTTAATGAAATAAAATTATTTTTCACTTAATTTACGATTCTGTGTTATTGCGAAAATGTCTCATTGTGTAAATTGTCAATTTTAAGGCAGTAGTATAATTTTATTAGCAATATGCATACGGTTTTTTTTAAAACTTCGTATTGTTTCGTAGGAACATAAAATTAAATAAGTGTGTGTTTGTATAAGGTATTCTAGTGCCGGGCTGTACAGTGTGCTTTAATCATGGTCGGTGGCGTTTGCTTGCTTCGTCATTTGTCGCGAAGTTTGTCACGCACACCAATTCTAACATGTAACTTTTTGTAAGCCAGTAGCTATAATGCAATTTAGTCACTCGATGTTCATCAGCAGTTTCCAATGAATCCAAAAGACCTCTATACTTCGATTTTCAAGCCACTACTCCACTTGTGGGTGTTGTGTTACAGTATTTTACCTAAGTTTAGGATCCACGTGTACTCGATGCAATGTTGCCGTTTTTTCTGACTTCATATGGCAACCCGCATTCGCGAACACATATGTATGGTTGGGAGTCGGAGAAAGCTGTTGAAGCAGCGAGGGCGGAGGTTGCTGATTTGATAAACGCTGACCCGAAGGAAATAATTTTTACCAGCGGAGCAACGGAGTCGAACAATCTTTGCATTAAAGGTGTCGGGAGGTTCTATAAGTCGAAAAAGCGCCATATCATCACGTCTCAAATAGTAGGCATTATTATCACTCATGCAATTTTCAGGAGCACAAATGCGTCTTAGATTCTTGCCGCGCTTTGGAAAATGAGGGATTTAAGTTGACGTACCTGCCTGTCCAGCATAATGGGCTCGTGGACCCAAGGGACGTCGAAGAAGCCATTCAGCCCGATACATCGCTTGTCTCAATCATGACTGTCAACAATGAGATTGGGGTTCTACAGCCCATTGAAGAAATTGCAAAAATATGCCGCGCGAAGAAGGTTTTCTTTCACACCGATGCTGCCCAAGCAGTGGGAAAAATACCAATCGATGTCAACAAAATGAATGTGCGTTTCAATCTTCTTTGTTAACCTATTGCGTGCTCCTTTTGATTTCGTCGTTAGATTTACTTGGTGGTTGAGATCACACCATGTGAATGTGCCAAGCAAATACGCTGAAAACCTGTGCTGCTTTGCGACAATTGACCAAGATTAGATAACCGTGTTAGTATTGTTTAACTTCGCTCTGTTTTGCTCATTTAGCCAGTGGTATTTGGGATTCATTGGTTCCTACTAATGTGTGGCTTCTAACTCAGCCCGTGATCAATTTGTTATTTTTGTTAGATTGACCTTCTCTCGATAAGTGGCCACAAAATATACGGTCCAAAAGGCGTGGGTGCTCTTTATGTGCGCCGTCGACCTAGGGTGCGTTTGGAGCCAATCATAAGCGGTGGGGGACAGGAACGCGGAATGCGGTCGGGAACACTTCCAGCTCCTCTTATCGTTGGTTTGGGCGCAGCTTGTCGTGTCTCAAAGGCTGAAATGCAGGTAATTTGACCACATTCTCCCATTTTTTGCCTGTGAAGGCAGGGCAAGAACAATGCTGTCTTTTGCAACGTGTGAGGGAAGTCAGGCGTAGGCTTTTATGTCTCACTTGGGTGCGACGCCTGCCTTAGCGCCAACCGTGTCTTAAGGAATCATTGCATTTATTTCTCAGAACGACCACGAGCACATCAGCAGACTCTACGACCGTCTAGTGAATGGCATTACTTCTCAGCTCGAAGAGGTGATACTTAACGGCGACCCGGAACACCGCTACAAGGGCTGTCTTAACCTCAGTTTCGCTTTCGTTGAGGGCGAAAGCCTCCTGATGGCGCTTAAGAGCATCGCCCTCTCGTCTGGCAGGTGAGCGTGTGGCTACTTTGGTTATATCTTGGTCGTTTTTTCTAAAATTTCTTGTCCTCCCTGCGGTTTTAATCGAATGGGTGTGCGGAAGGGATTGGCTGAGGTCTAGGGTTTTTAGTAAAAGCGAACTGACGCCACTAAGACTAACGTCCTTACTCATTTCTAACTACCCGATTTCCCAGCGCGTGTACTTCGGCCTCTCTGGAACCCTCCTACGTGTTGCGTGCCATCGGGACGAACGAGGACCTGGCTCACTCCAGCATAAGGTTTGGAATCGGTCGATTCACGACCGAAAAGGAGGTGGACTACACCGTCCAGGAAGTTGTCAAACACGTCCAACGTCTCCGCAAAATGAGGTGAGGTGTTTGCTTGGTAGTAGCGGTGGCCCACGTCTTCCACCTCAACGTTAAAACATTATTGCTCTTGTTGTAGTCCACTGTGGGAGATGTACCAGGAGGGCGTGGATTTGAAGAGCATCAACTGGTCCCAGCACTAACCCTTCATAATTCTGTCTGTTGTACAATATTCGTGCTTTTGTCCTCATGTGTATTGACTTTAAGCCATTTTGTGATTCAAAGCTCTGAAATAACCAATCATGCATCAGCGAACGTGTGCTTAGATATGAACGACAAGAATATCCTGAAATGTCTAAAATGGTGCTGTTGGTGCACAGGCGTACTATGGTGCATTAGACTTATCTGCAACCGCTTTTGCAGACGGATTTACGTTAAGCGTCACGGAGTTGAAGTAGAAAGACAGGGTTCTAGAATCACAGCATTTATTGCAAATGATCTCTCAGCCCGGCGTGTTTGCCGACACAAGTCCCAAGTGGAAACGGCAAAAGGAAGAGCTCTTCGTCCAACGTCGGCATGGATCTGTTGGTGCGGGTGTGTGGCTACTTTAACTTGTACTTCTCAATCGCCTCCCTGACCAGCAGGACGTCACTAAATGCCTGAAGTAGCTCGTCCAATTCGTCTGCTACCTGCGGTGAGACGACGTCTGGGCCGAATGTTATTTGCGTGAGAGCACCCTTCAAAGGAAAAGAACAAAACACTCGGTGCATCTTTTTGGGTGACGCTGCAATGGATTCGCCTGGACTAAACCTAGGAAGTGCCGTCAGGAATTAGGCAGCATATTTAGCACCCTTTTCAACTAGGAATCACATCACAGCCTGATACTGACCTCGCGTTTTGCCGAGGTTTTTCAACTAATCGTTTCTTTACTGTCAGCTCCTCAGGTGTCATTGCAAAAACTACAAACCATACTTGTTGGTGCGTCACTTTTAAGACAATGGAGGACAAAGTATGCTCAAAAAACTCTGGAGGCGTGTAAAGAGGCCTTCTACCACGTGCTACGGTCCATCATGGTTGGTCAGATTTGTGTTGCTGCCAGCAAAGCATTTTAATTGGTGGTCCCCGTTGGAGGACACAGACAGCCACCCTCGCATCACGTCGTGCAAAGCAGATCAGCGTTTCGGCTGTTTGGGCCAAGGTATGAGCACGTGACTTCGCAATGATTCAGACATTGACAGCCAGAACCCTTCCACACACCAACGTTTGGTGTCTCCAATGCGGTGGTGGACACGTTTCCACCGACACGCTGTTTCGTGTTAGACACATTGCCTTTACCGACAGCCAACCCGTCGGAAGAGCGATGTGCAACCGACCAGAGCAACGGCTGCTATGAAGACTCAAAGACATCGGCTAAGCACACATTAAAGCATTTGTCGAATGCACCACACAGTGGGATTCCACAGACATTACCTCTGGCAACTTGGGTGGCAGCAGGTCGTCTCTGTGAGCTGTTCGTCGCGGTTGTCCAATCCGACTTTGCTCCTGGCCACGTTTCATGCACGCGACGAAGGTGTATGCGAGAAGGCCAAGGTACGCGAACACGAAGAGGAAGCACAGAATCACCATGAGGATGACTCGAGTGCACACTAGTCCGCATCGCCCACCTGACGTCTTCTTCACATGCGCAGCTACATGTTTCACACCGGGAGGAAGGAGACGAATTCGCATTAGAGGTGTTAATCTGCGCTAAACACCGGTGGTCGTGTGCGTGTGGAAATTAACAAGGCGAATTGGTGTGGTAGACTCATGAAAGTGGTGCTAGGCAGCGTCTTACGTTTGTGCATGCGAGTGGTATCCAGTCGAAATTGCCAGTCACACTCAAGGAAGCGGCACTTGACGTGGTACTGGGATTCCGTGGCATTGGTCGCATCGATGATCCCGTCTTCGCTCATTGGCAGTTGCTTCGGTTCCATGTCGCAACGCAGGTTGTCTTTCCGCACCATCGACTCGGGCACCCCTGTACCCATCACATCGAAGAACTGCAAAAGCAAATCACTGCACGTATACGCATGCGTGTGCGTATGCAAAGGCTCAAAGTGGTGCACTCAATCCAACGCCCCTCACTCACTCACCGTGATGGGATAAACCAGTTTGACGTGGCCTTTGGGGAAGGCGGGCTTCTTCACTGGGTGGATGGGGAGGATGTACTGGTACCGGGAGTCGGCTTCTTGCTCGGTCGCGCACAAAAGCACCACCTTGGAGATGCAGAGAATCCCATGTAGACCTACATTGACCACAGACTGCTTAGCCTTGATGGTCAGCAGCGGAGTGTGGTTTGGCGCTTGGATCTCGCAACCCAGTGGTTCCGTCTGGCAGTAGGTGCCGAGGCACAGTTTCACCGTCAACTTATCGCGCAGCGGATTGTACGAATTGCGATTTGGCGTCAGAATCATCTTATAGTTCGCGTATTCTACAATTTGAAGGTGCACAATTAGAGGCTCGTTCTACTTGCTGCGACTGCAAGTTGGTGCAGACCGACTCGGCGTTTCACGCGTTTGAGCGCCTGCAACTCCAGCGCATTCTAGATTGCCTCACGTGCTTTGACGCTTAACCACAAGGTGACACACACTTGGAGCGAGCACCCTCCTCTCAACTTACTAATCTTGGGCAGTTTGACCTCATTTCTGATGAGGCACTTGTCAGTCTGCACTCGGATGGTGACTTTGGTTAGGTTGCGGAACGCATTCTCGGGGATGCCGTTTGAGTCGAGGAGGCACATGATCTTCACAATCTCAAACGCCTTCAGCTCGCAGACAATGTCGCTGCGACCCTCGACCGTGCAGGATGCGCCTGGACCGGAGTTCGGTAGCCTCAGGGAGTAAATCACTTTGCCGAAAAACTCACAGTAATCGCGGAATAAGCCATGTCCCACCATAAGACGGCCTTCAGAAACGTCACACCCGCAGTCTAAAAGGGGCGAAATGCGAGGCGTGCAAAACGGTGTCAGGATTTCCAGTCGGTGTTGTGCACATCAGTCCAATGCGGTTAATTTTTACTGCACACGTCTGTCTTATTATCGTTCAGTGTAAAAGAACCACTAATTGGAGGAATGGATTAGGTGGGGTTGCTGTGCGGCTACATCAACTGATGCATCTGCGTTTATGGCGCATGGGCTAACGACTCGCATGCAGATTCACGTGTTTGGAGCAAATCAAACTAACCAACTTGGTTTGTAGACTGGGCGTTCCCCACAAAGTCGCACTTTGTGTCAGTTGTGTGCTGCCTTCACTGGAATTTCAGTCCAAAACTGTTATAGCAGTAGCAGCAACAACCACATCAACAACAACAGCAAACCTGTAATGACGACGGGAAATGATTGGCTCGCCACGGAGCTGGTGCCATGAACATTGAAGGTGCCGCAGAAGCCTTCGCGAATGCGCACCTCGTTGCCCAGGACCTCGTAGAAGTCCGTCTCCTTGTTGGCAACCGCCATGGGAGAGCCCGCCTGTGCGATGGGGAAGACTCCCAGCAGTTCAAGCGGTGGTTTTCCACTGAAACCCGCGAGCATGCAGGTACCCCCAGTGGCCTTGCTTTGATGCTGCCTATTCTCGTGGTCGTAGAGCCACTTGTACCAGAGTCCGTGCTGTTCGATGGCACGCAGGTTGCCCACGTACACGTAGATAGAGATGCGGTCGTCGCGACGCACATTCGTCTGGCTGATTCGCAGTTCAAATGGCGCGTCCAGTGCTAGTGGGTGATAACTCGCATGAGATGAGCTCACAACTAAGGTACACCAAACAGATTAGACTTGTAGGTGTGCACCAACAACTGCGATTCAATTGACTACAAATTGGTTTTACATTGCCCCATATTTCAAACCGTGGTCTGTTCAGTAGGCCCGTGATTTAGCCTTGCTGGTATGAAACACCAGTGTAAGGAGAGAACACAGTAGAATGCTGGAGTGCTTACTTAGAACACAAAAGGTGTGTGGTTTAGTTGGGCATTTGTAGAAGCCGTCTTCAAGCCTAGTCAGCTTGGGTGCTTGCTCAGGCTTGTCCAGTGGACAGGGATTCAGCTTATTGAATGCGGCATATTCGAGTTGGCGAATGAAGATGGCGCAGTGCTGTGGTGCGTGGAAGCAGGCCAAACAGCGCTTGGCAGGAGGAATGTCAGCTGCGTGCGAAGCGTCGGCCAGGAACAGAACGAGGATTAGCAGCATAACCGAATGACCCCAGTAGCTTCGTTTGCCAGCACTCGACGAATCCAATCAACGAACGCCATGCAAACAGACAGAGTGTATCGATTCGGTGGCAATTTGAATTCGCAAGCTGTGCTGACTAACCAGCGCTGTCCCGACACGGTGAATAACTGCTTTGGTGCATTTTGCTTGTGCGTTCGCTGTTTGGTGAACGTTGCTGCAAAATGTGTGGTTTGGGATCGCACGAATGCGCTGCAAATTTGCTGAGTGCTTATTCGTCCAAAACAAGGTTTCGGCGTAGAATGAATTCAAGAATGAAGTTTATACTTCAATGTTGCTGTTGGAATTTGCAAATATCTCTGCTAGAATTTAGGGAACTCCAAAATCTGAAAAATATACGAAACGAAGTAGATTCAGCCGGAGAACATTGCGAAAGACAGTCGATCAGAACTGAGTAGAACCTGCTGGTGTTATGGCACACTTAAATTAAAATTGGATCAGTGGTGGTCCGAAACGCCACCGCGTGTTTTTGTGTTGTTAAGTGCTGAGCCAACCTTAGCAAGATGTCTCTAATGCGCCTGTTGCAATTCAGAATAGGATAGAGAAAGTGCTACAGAACACCGAGCAATCTTTGATTCAGAAACAGGCCCGAATTTGCAAGGCAATTTTGTGAATTTGACCACCGAATTCAATTCAGGTAATTATGTTGATGAACGGCCCCTGCAGGCTGACTCAACCCCGTTCTTAGTCAATCGCAGTCAGCAGCTAAATCCTGTAGAGATATTTGAACCCAGTTGAATTGTATTTCAGAACTGGAGTCGTCAAGAGACGTCCCAAGCCGCCAAACTTCAAATGTATCAATTTAGCCAACAGAATACAAGGACAAGTCAAAAAATCTCACTGTTGGAAATCAAACTGAAATGTCATTATTTGAGAAGACGGTTTCCATGAACCGAAACGAATGGCATTCCTACTAAAGTTAACCTTGTAGTCGACCGTTTGGTCTGATCTGGTTTGCGAAAACAAGGCGACATCCATGAAGACTTCATCGCTACTGCCAACGCGACATCGTTCACTGACACAACATGCCGTTTCGCAAGCAGTTCCTGCGCCCAGTGCAGCGACGTATTAGGAGGCAGGCATATTGGACTACGTCGGCCTCAATGTGTCTTGAAGCATTCTGTTACGACACAGAAGTATGACTGGTTGATGGCATTGGTTATCACTTGAAATCCAAACGTGGTTCGAATTTTTATCGTCGTGGCAAGATGGGGATTTGCGTGGAAGTCACAGCCGAGGAGCACTCTTAATGCAGCGTTTGATCATATAACACAGTCAACTTTGAATAAAAGCCAGTCAACGCCAAACATAAAGCTAAACAGCTGTTCGTAACTGCTTCAATGTCTCTGTTCTAATCCACGGAATCTGCCATAGTGCAGTCAATGTCACATTGGAGGAGGCATAAATGAAGGTGCAGCGATAAAGCCGACGCACACGTCACGTTCTGTCCCCTTGCACAAGAGCACATTAAAATCACCTTCAGAACGCATCCACTATCGAATCCATGCCATGTTCTATCAGAAACGTCAGGCAGGATAAACGGAGTTTTGGGTCCTGAATGCAAACACAATTGAAAGATTTTCCTTGGGGTTCACTTCTCCAGATGATACAGGTTTTTCTACCATCTATAAAATAAGACTGTTACAAAAAAATTAACTTAAGCTGTTTTAAAATAAATATGGAAAAAAAGACAAACTGTCATCTCCAAACGCTGAAAAATAACTGTGTTGTCTTCACGATAAGAATGACCGTAAATAAACACCATAGGCTAAATAATGTGGTGATTTATTGCTGTAACAATGCCTTTAAAGAAAGCTATTTTTTCACCTTTTATATGTATTGGATATTCTGATTACTCGTTTTGGCAATATCAGTTTTTAATCTTTCATCTTCCATAAAATAAACTTTGCAAAACACAATTTACACTATAAGAACGAAAATCCCGAAGAAGTACGAGTTGACTGATGTTCGATAGACATTTCAGGAAACTGTACGAATTTTTACGTGGAATGCCACCTTACTTTCAGCAAACTGGGAAAACATGCAGTTCTGTGTTAATTTATGAATTTAGATTTAGCAACCAATAGTAAACATATGGGCAAAGATATCAAAACAAGTAACTGTGTCAGCAATGGTTGATTAAGAATCGTGCATAAATTTTGCTTCAGCATCTTGTTTCCTTAACTTGTGTTCCAAGAGAAAAATGCAACGGATTCTGCTGCGTTTTACATACGCTTAATGAATATTTTATTAAAAGCTTCTAAGGGCTTCTGCAAATATCAGCTGAAGTTGTCGACGTTAAACAGATAAAATCGCTCACAAAAAAGTTACGTTAGAATGCGCATTTGAGCAAAAAATATCAAAAAAATGTCTGCAGATTTAACGAAATGCGCAAAATATTACTGCATTGAAGGGGGTAGTATTTCTTCCACAATTTATTCCACAATTGTGCAAACTAAAGGCTAAGTCTAGCTTAAAATCACTTGATTAAACAGACTACACACAAATAATCAAATGTTATCTTTTATCATATTTTGCCATGTGGATGAACGCAAGTAGAATTTCGTTTGGTTTCTGATAACATACTAATCAGTTTTTTGTTGAATAAAACAAAACTTAAGGTTGTATGTTTCACCACACATAATCTTGCTGGATTTGTGCATACATAAAAAAGAATTAAGGATTTCATTAAGAAAAAAGCCTCTTTATAGCGTCGAAAATTTGATTCTTAGAAAAGTATTATTATTGCATGGCACTTTATAGGCTAAATATATAAATGACGTTCATTAATGCCACCAAATATTCAAAAACATAATAAAAATGTGATCCAACCTTAAAAGTTTTAGGTTTTATGATCCCACGTAGATAGCCTTGACGGTGGATTGGATACTCAAAGAATCGAAGCCAGATTTAAAATTTGATGAAAATGCCTAACAAATAATTAATGTCTTCTGTGCGTCCCATCGGTATCAGAAATAACCTCAAAGGTCTTGTGAACTCACCCAAAGGTGTTAGGCATCTATAAAATTTGCCAGATAGTCCACTGCCTGAATTTCATTACACCCGTATTTTGACTTAACTTGACCAACAACATATGCTGTCTACGAAATTATGAGGTCGGGTGTTGAAATAGAACCAAAAATTCTTTAAGAATTAAAGACTCTCAGCTCCTGGTTTGACTAAACAAAAGTCAGAGTGTTTCAGCATTAATGTTATGTACTTGGGACCAGCAAACATAAAACACATCAAGTTTGGTCGCATTATAATGTCGTTTGCAAATATTTGACGGCATAAATTAAAGCCCCGTATAAATTTAGCCTATAAAGCACCACAAAAATAATCCTAATTTTCTAACAGTCAAAATTTGTCGACGCTGTGAATAGTCTTCAGTCAGTACAAAATTCTATATTCTTATTTATGTAAATACAAAAAATCAGCAAGATCGTGTGTGGTGAAACCTACAACCTTCAGTTTTGTTTTATTCAACAAAAACTAAATAGTATGTAAATAGAAACCAAACGAAATTCCATTTGCGTTTATCCACATAGCAAAGAATGATAAAATATGGAATTTGATAATTTGTTTGTAGTCTGTTAAATTAAGTGTCTTAAAGTTGCGTTCACCCTTTATTTTGCAAAACTGAGTTGATCAGTTACCAACAGCGTGATATTGTGGGATAAATTATGGGATATGCATATTATCCACTTCAGTGCAGTAATATTTTGTGAATTTCGTTGAATCTAAGTGTCTCTTCAGCTTTTTTTCTCAAATACCTATTTTAAATTCACTTTTTTGTGAGTGGTTATATCAATTTAACTGTGACAACTTCAGCTGATAAGCATTGAGTCCCTTATATAGCGAGCATAATTAGGTGCTTATAGTAAGGCCTTCATTAAGTTTATGCAAAACGCGGTAACATATGCTGCATTTTGCTTCTGGAGTATAAATTAAAGCAATGAAATGCTGACGCGGAATTTATGCATGATTCTTAACTTACCGTTGCTGGCTCAGTCACTAACTTTGATATATTTGCCAATTTCTTTAATATTGGTTGCTAAATCCAAATTCATAAATTAACACAAAAAGGCATGTTTTTCCGAGTTGTCGAAAGTAGGGTGACAATCTCCGTCAAACTTCGTACAGTTTCCTGAAATGTCTATCGAACACCAGTCAACTCGTACTTCTTCGACATTTTCGTTCTTTGAGTGTAAATTGTTTTTTGCGAAGGTTATGTTATGAAGGATGACGGACTTGAACTTAATGGTACTAAAACCAGTAATTAGGATATCCAATATAGGAAAAGTTGGAAAAAAGCCTTTTATTTAAAAGGCATTGTTGCAGCAATAAATCATCACGTTATTTAGCTTATGGTGTTCATTTACTGTCATTCTTATCGTTAAGACAGCATTTTTTTCTTTTAGTGACTACATGAACCTGTTCAACCAAAAAATCACATCGTCTGACGTGGATAGGCGTCCGCTTCAATCGCTTACATTTACACCAGTATTTCTATCGGAAGTTTCGGAAATCACCGCATATCTATACAACCGTTTACCCAATACTTTGGAATTCTCTTCGCGCTTAGAGATATGCAATGAAGTATGCCCATTGAAAATGCTTCTCTTACGCGAATATTCATTATGCCAAACTTTACGATAATTAATGATCTATTCATGCAAATAATGTTCAACCCATTACTCGTGAAAAGATTGTCAGTAGAGTGAGATAACACGTTGTCCTTATTTTAATATTTATTTTAAAACAATTTAAGCTTACTTATTGTAATAGTCTTATTTTTCAGATAGCAGAAAAACGTGTAACAGCCGACTTCCAAATTTATCCCCAATCTGGACATGTGAACCCCGGAGAAAATCTTTCAATTGTATTTACATTCAGGACCCGATTTGCTGATAAGGAAGAGGGATTTGTATCCCACGAAACTCATTTTGCTGATGTTGCGGTGTCGGGTTACGTTATATTTGCCTATGAAGCTTTTGGTAAGATCAATTCTCACAATAAATTTGACAAACCATTTACGAGGCCTCAACCAAACTTTTGTTTACGTGCTTTAGAACAGTGATCTTACTTAGTGAGTAAAAAGATTTAGTGAAGAATTTCTAATGCACTTGCATATTTAACAGTGGCAAATTTAACTGAGTAAATGGACAAAATCCAAGCGAATTTGCGCATTTTAAATTAGTCTTAAGTTGGATGCATTTCAGGTAGCAGCGACGCTAGCGAAACTGGGATTTTGAGACTTCCATTCTACGCTCACTCCGTGCCAGTTGCCCTGTCTATTAGACACGGATCCTTGGTGCAGTCTGACTTCTCAACTACCTTTGCTCAAGTAGCCCTGGACTTTGGCTGCTGTTCATTAGAAGACGCGACTGAAAGATCAGTCATTATTAGCAACCACTGCACACTACTACCGGTGCGGTTTGCTTGCTCAAAGGTTGCTTACTTTGCCTGCAAACCGTGGCGTGGACTTGTGCCACCTGGAGCGACCAAGGAGATCACCGTCGTCTTCTCACCCAAGCGTCTTGGCACGGTTTTACGCAAAATGAGGCTGTCAATACTGGGTCGCGCGCTGACGATTGTTGCAGAAGCGACAATCACGTTGTCAGGAGAGGCAACTCTGTCTTCGTGTCCTCAATGTATGTGCTTGCCACATGGACTGCAGTTAGCAGGACTAAACCAAATCCAGTGGTATCACACGACGCATTTTCTGCCATTTTAGCCAAAGCCCCAGGAAGCGTAAACTGTGGCACTTTCTCGAAACGTAGGGTAGGAAAAAACGGCACACGGTTTGAAGGAATCGAGCGGTAAGCAATAAATCCATAATGCTTGTTTTACAAACACCTATTGATTAGAAAATTGAAGCTACGAACTTTTATGTACTTCTCTCTGATGACGTTAATTGCAAATTGAGGGGACATTTGGACTCTCTAACATGTTTCTGTTGTAGAAATGTTCAAACTGGGAGCGAAGTTTGCCATCAGCAAATCAAATCAGCACTCGACCTTGCGTGTAAGGTCACTTGCAATAATTTATCAACATTTAAACAAAATTGACCAGTGTAAGCTAGTCTATGCATCGCATGAACAGTGCCAAATCAGCGTGAGTGTGTGCAAGACATTTAGTAGTGATTTTTTGCTAAATGCATTATTTCGTTTATGTTAAATTAGCATTTTGGATTCAACCGACTCAAATTTCGACTCTGTCTTAGATCCAAGAACCGTGGATTATGGAAGGTTGTGCCTAAACACAGAAGCCCACAAACAACTTGTAGTGTCTAATCGCTCGGCAGTCCCCACCTTCATATCGGTTGTTCCAGGTGAAAAAAATATCTCAGTCAGTGAGCCATCAAGTCAAACAGTTCCTGGCCATTCCAGTTGCACTTTCACCGTCTCTCTTCAACTCAGCAATTATGGCGCATTCTCAGGGTGCGTTGCGGTCACTGCGAATCATCTTTTCAATTTTATTGCGACAACTTTATATTGGCAACTTAATTGTTTTTTTGTTACTCTTTGAATCAGGAATGTACACGTGAGGTTGGATGGACGGCCTTTCGATTCTGTTGGCGTGGAAGCTTTTGTTGGAGAACCGTCTTTGGAAATTGAACCGGCCAAAATTGCATTGAAACCGAGCACTGCCGTTGGTGAACTTGTCTCTGAACGGGGTTTAAGGGGTTTTGTGCGCCTAATCAACCACCTGAATGTGCCCATCGCTTTCACGTGGACTTCCGCAAATGGCAGTAGATGTTTCCAGATTTTTCCGAGATCAGGTCAGTCGTCTGGTGCCGTTAACAACTCCATGGTCCACGGATGCTGCCATTTTGGTTGTTTCGCCAGTTGTTTTTAAATAGATGATTTCTGATATTCAGCCTTGTCACTCAACTACATGCCTAGGAAATGTTATGTATTCGACATTAAAATTCATTCATATATGCATATATAGGAGCTGTTTCACCACATTCGTGCTTGGACTGTGAAGTCGCCTATCGATATTCCTTCGCGCAACCAATTAGTTCCACTGACAGAGTCCTGTTCCACCTGTCCACGTCATCAGAAGACGCAGGTCTGCAAGGCACGCCGAAATGCCTCGAGTGTGAAGTTCGACTTCCACCGGCTGAACTGACCTCGGTCACGAAACGCATCAAGTTCCAGGACGTCGCTTGTGGGTTGCCGGCAACGCAGATGTTTGCTCTGCACAACAGAGGCCCCGGACTAGCGTTCGTCGAGGTCAACTCCCCGTGGCCGCAGGATGAAATTTCAATCGTGGTTGAGCCAATCGAATGCGAGATCAGGGCGAGGGAACAGGCAGTGTTTCAGGTGTGACATCGCGGATTATGAACCGCGCATCTCACCATCGCGTCTTAAACCGATGACTTTGTCCATTACAGGTGACTTGTTGCGTGCGTAGAGAGGGTCACTTCGAAACTCCGATTGCAGTTCTACACCGTGGCAAGGAGGTTATGAATTTGACAGCCCAGGGTAACTGCGTTTGGCCAAAGATTGCCATTTCGCCCTCGTGTTTGTACTTTGCTGGAACTCCTGTTGGAAGCCAAGCCAGCTCAGCGTTTACGGTAAGCAACACATCGACAGTTCCCGCGCAAATAGCGTTTGCGTTCGACGGCAACAGGGACTTCGAGGTGAGCTGTGGAGACGGCGAACCAGACAACGAACTCCAACCCTCATCGTCAAAAGAATATCGACTCATTTTCAAACCCAACAAGGTACGTCCCTATTGAATCCTCTCTTGATGGCAATTAGTACTATTCTATTGGTCAAATTGCCTGTCATGCTTTAGTAATAAAAAACCCCAGCATTTGATTGGTCAATTTTCCCCCAATGAAAGGGCTCCTTCTTGTTATTTTTATTGATTCATCTACAAAACAGCTAAACCTTTTAGATTTCCAACTACGACTTTCAACTCCCTCTACTTGTGAATAAGACAAGGAGTTTGCAGGAATTTTGTCGAATTAGGGCGACCGGAGTTCGTCCAATGGTGTGCATCTCGCCGTCAAGGATTCTGCTCAAACGCAGTGTACCCGTTGACAAAGAGGGCATTGATGGTGCATGTTTTTACAGGGTAAGTGAGCAAATAGCAATACTCGCATGCAACAGGTGTCACAATAATTGCAGAAAACGAAGGAACACACCTGAATCTACTGCAATTGATGTTGTAAGTTGCACAAAAAGCTGGTATGGGGTTAGATTTTGTCACATCGTTTAGACAAAACCCAAGAGAGAGAGAGAGGGAGAGTTGCAAGAAAAACTGCACCCTTGCACCTCCGGTCGGAAATGTTATCAGACACGGCAGTAAGTCTGATATTTACACGTGTCTTGCGCTAGTAACAACTTTGAATGTGTTCATATTAACTTGTCCAGTAGCTTGCATGTTTGTGGAATGCCTTTCGATAAAGTTGGTTTCAAACTGCAATCGAATGTGTGTGAAGTCCTGACGTCTGAATTTTTGTCTGATTCGAAATAATGCTTAAGACTGCTGACCAAATTTTGTGTGATTCGCTTAACTAAATTGTAGGAAATTCGCATCGAAAATGTAACATCTGAAATGCTAAGCTGGCAAATCGACATGCCCCAACTGCCTCAATCAATGTCAATTTCACTCACAAGTGGTGAAACTGACGGAACCGCGGGTCAGTTGACAGGGATTTTGATGCACCTCGGTGAATCTGTGGTTATTTCAATGAAAGTGGTCCCGCCAGGTGAGATGTGGGTTCAGAAAGCACAGGAGTCACCTCATCACATGCCACAAATGTTCCATTCCATTGTAGACCAGCCTTGTTCACACAGCATTGCGCTCTCAATCAAGATCACCGATCACTTGGATCGCCACCAGGCAGAAATGGTGATGCTTCGAGTTGAAGTGACTGAGCCTCAAATTACTTGTGTTCCATCGCGCATCTTCTTGCCACCCCTCGCCCTCTCGACGCCAGTTAAAATCGCGCTCATGTTGAAAATCGATTGTCTAGAAGGCAGCTTTGAGTTGAGGAATATCGTGTTTGTAACCGGGAGAAAAAATTGCACCGACGACTATCTGCTCCGCGTGGATCTCCCTCAGGGTCGTGGTAAGTGTTCACAGTGCCTCTGTTCAAATAGTAGATGAAATGATTGGTCACATTAACACCGCGCGTTTACTGGACAATCAGGTGTTCGAACACAGCTCACAATACCCAGCCATTGGGTAGATATCGTGGGGGGTAAAAAGAATGTTTCGATTTTAGTTTTCCGACTTGCCGAGGGCTGTCTGCAGCTGCGCGCATTCCTACAGTTTGAATCTTCAGAGATCACGTGCATCGCCAATCGCCCACAGCCACCATGCCTCGTGTTCATTGTGCAGTCTCGTGAAAAGGACTGCAATTTTGTGATGCGCGCTTGCGTCCTCGTTGCTTTCAGTGCTGACAGCAGTCTCCTGAGCCTCACTCACCTCAGGAACTTGTCGCACGGGCTGGAAGAAGCCACAATGTACTACTTATTTGGTTTTCAGCACGTTGCATCTTGCCTCTCTTAAGCAACAATCATCAGCCATGAAAATCAACAAATCATATCTTCTGTGCTTTAGGGAAATAGATTTTAATCCAAAATGCTGAAGTGCATTAAAACTCTAGCAGTGTGATTTGTGATTGGTCGGAATCTGATTCCAGTTGACCATACTCTAAAATCCTGATTGGCTAGAATTGAATGAGTCATCTTACCAAGTACTGTGGCCTCCAACCTCGACTTCGGATCTCCTCACTTGTTTTTGCAGATCAGGTGAAAGTCTGCTGGCATATCCTCTCAACTGGAGTACAAGGACTACCACAACTGTTGAACTCTGGCTACGTCACAACGGTTTTGTAGACGGTCCACGAGGTCTGCGATTCCCCGATGACTTCCGGAGGTGCAGATGCTTTTTCGAATCTTTTTTTTAACCACGATGCACACACGCCCCCACTACGTCTGCTATTGGTTCAAATCAGTTTTATTTATATTACTGATTTGAAATGAGCAGCAATTTAAGATATCAGTGTGATTAAATTTAATGCAAATGCCCCATTGTGATTATCACCTGGAGGCCACTTCAAGGTCAAATGGCCAGTTAATTTAGTTGATCAGTTATCCAAAGGGGATAAATCAATTAGAAGATAATTATGACTCAGTACCAGGGTTTAAATTACTTTACTTACTCTTCAAGTCTTAATATATAAATTGTGGCAAAATAATCCAGTTGTGTGTTTGTATCCAAGGCAATTTATTTTTCTATCAACTAGGCGCTTGTCATTGGACGACATCAGGTTAGAGCGCACCAATCAGAGCCGAAAACTAACTGTGCACAATCTGGGAGGTCTTATTGAATGTCTGTCGCATGTCGTGGGGGTTTGGAATCCACCAGGAGTCCCAAGGTCCATTTCCTTGCCACTCGAGGACACAGCCAAGTGCACCGCCATTATATACAATCACCTTTCAGCGTTGATTTGCTTTGTTGAAGCGTAAGCCCTGATTATTCTCATCTGCTTTTGGAACTAAAAAAACATGCCATGCCATGTTTTCTCTGTGAAATGTCTGCCTGTTGCCCATTTTTCTTCCTTTGACGAGGAAGTCTAACTAAATTGCAGGGTTCATTTAAGCCACGAAAATCAGCTTGAGGTTTCTCTTAAATTTAATTGGTCAGGCACTTGATGGTGGATTGGTTGGATGCCAGTTAACCAATAAAATGACACCTAATTTGCACAATTGCATTTTAGTCAAGGTGGGTGTTTGAGTCACATCTTTCCAGAATACCTTATGACACACAAGGACTACATTCGGTGGATCGAACACGGACGTCCTTGTGGATACGATCAGGTGATCAGAGTGGACGGCCTTGACGTAGATCCATCAGAGGGAAATGTCATTATTCCAAAGACAGTAACGACGAATTTCAAGGGAAACACCAGCATTGCTTGCTCTTCCATTTCTAAGTTATCACCTGAGGAATTTGAGTGCATTTCTCGTATTGCCTGGACTGACCTCTTTCTCCAACTCATCAAGGTGGGTTAGATAGAAGCTTTCCCTTTAATTAGGAAACAATTGACACGCAATTTGCCTGATTACTCATTTGAGAAATTTCAGTAGTATTGTAGGAAATACTCTTCGGAAATCTTAAAAAATCAGTCAGTAGCGCGGAAAGACTGCAAAATCTCGTTTCTCCTGGTTAGCTTCACAAACGGGGTGCATTGCTACACACAAGCACATGGTTCCGCTGTCTACATGTACTCGTGCACGAGAATGTGTGATAATTAAATTTTGAAAACGGAAAAGTCACTTGTCACGCGACGTTCTCGTGTGTTGTAGTGCTTCGAAATGCGCCCGCTTTGGAGCAAGTCGTCTGAGCACGAGCTTCTCTCGTGGGTTAACTCTGCCATCGGGCGTAGTTGGAGGGACCTTTGCGAGGAAAATGGGCGGCTGACGTCGTCAACCTGGCACCGTCCTGGCGCTCCAAAAGTGGCCAACTTCGACACCGACTTCTCAAATGGGCTGGCCTTAGCTTGCCTCATTGCGCATCATGTGCCGTTCATCGTAAGTGCCCTCAATTATCCCTAAAACTACACAGTTACATTGACAGCGAGCCAATGAGAATAGAGGAATGTGCGCGGTCGAGTTAAGATTTGTGTGCTTAGCAGATTAGTCGTGAAAGGACTGAGGAAATTTCGACTTTGATTAAATACGTGTCATGACTACCTAGAGGTTAATTTTGTCAATCGAATATGCGACCTTGTAGGTGAAGGAGAGTCTTTCGGAGCTGATTTTGGATCCACACGAACCCCAAGACAGATTCCACAACTGCATTCAGATTGTCAAGGCTCTCGCGTTAATTCACGTTGACTTCCAGCTGACACCAGATGACATCTACAATACGAGCGACGTCTACGTATTACTACTGCTAACAAGGCTGTATCAGTGTTTGCCAGGATACGCAGTCAAATCCTCGCTGGCATTCGAAGGTAAATTAAACCCGAAATTGCTTCTACCTCAGAATTTGCCATATCGACTTGTTAATCGATTTATTTTGACTAGGCAACTTACAGGCGCTTGTGCAACAGGACTTGACCTTGACTAACCCAACCAATCAGAAACTTGTTTACAGGTGCTTCGTCATTGGTGATGAAGGTCACTTATTCGGTTTTGTCGAGCCGTCGCATAGAGGGAAGAGCAAAACTCCACGGCGTACACGAACGAAGCAGATTTCATTGGCTGGAAACTGTCCGTTTACATTACACTTGTGCTACAAGTAAGAAAGAACTTCCAAAAGGGTTCTAGCTATTTTCACGAAGCATTGATTAAAATGTTTTACTCTAATGACGGAGGATCATATACCATTCTACATAACACACTCCATTCTACTGACGCATTTAATTTTTGTTGAAAAATATTTAGCATAGCTTTAAAAATTCATGTCACTTTCGATACTGGTACACTGCATGTTTAACATACCCATTGCATCCTTAAATCATAACTGTGAATTCAAAGCCAATAAGCGTGGTCCAAATTTACTGATTTTCCAACGCCTGCTTCAAAGTGCATTGGATTATTGATTTCATCCACGATTCATGCACAGCACCTTGGAATTGAGTTTGTGTGGGATTAGGAATTCCAAATAAATATGTCTGCGATAAAATTAATACACTTAATCAAAAAGTACAATGTTAGGGGTACGAACGAGGTCTCAAATGCAATTTAAATCTTGGGGCTAACTCACGGAGCTTGTTACGGACTACCATACTTTGGTGAGACGTGATCGCAAGTTGAACATTCACCAATCAAAAAGGCTTTTCGCTTCGCTTCAGAGTACAATCGCTTCGACGTGTCCAAGCGCATCTCATGCTGATCGCGGAGAAAGGAACCAACGCTATGGGTTCAGCAATGGTGTTTGAACTTACTGGCGAACCTTGTTCACTTCAAACTGATGTAAGCTTGTTGGTGGAGCCTCAACGGGACCGTGTATGCGTTTGAATTCTCTAAAGTTGGATTAAAACCTGATACGGTCGTGTTTTTATGTAGGAAACCTTCCATTTCAACACAACCTGTTATCGACCACAACTCAAATTACTGTCTATCAGGAATAGACTTCGGTGTGAAGGCGTTTTTGCGGTTCGCCTAGTAGAATCGCCACGAAAACCAATTACAGACAGCGCTTCAACAGGTAAATTTCATGAAAGCAGCATTGTTTTATGAAATATTGCATTTAGGCCTTGGAAGCTCGTTAAGCAGTCTACGCGGTTTCACGTGCAAAACTGCCGAGGTGAGGTTCAGAGGCGATTCAGAAGAGGACGTAGATGTGGTCTTTCACCCTTTTGGCCCAGGCGTCTATGCTGCCAAGCTGATCTTTTCCAACCAATCACATGGCGACTTTGTGATTGACATTCGTGGCTCCTCCGAGTTACCACTTCCAGACCAGGAACAACGAATTACTTGTCCGATTGGGTTGAACCACCGTGTGGAACTGCTCGTAACGCTTGAGAATGTGGAGAAGATGCACACGCTGGAATGGCTCGCGAGGTACTTGCTGTCACGCCCGGAATTGGAGAGAATTTCGATGTCGCGCCTCCTATTGGCTAGCGAGATGTCCAAAATTTTAGCTTTGCATAACTCAGAGACTGCTTCAACGAACGTGAGTCGAAATTTTCTATGTGTTGAACCAAAGGCCCTTGTGAACCTTCTCGCAAATTTCAAATTTCACCATCCATATTGTAGGGTGGAGGATTAGCGGACAGGATTCATTTCCGCGTTGAGTGCAATTCTGCCTTCGTGAAAGTGCCGCCAGTCATTGAGGTACCGCTGAAAGAAAGAGCGCATGAGCGTCCAATGGAACACTTCAACGTGCCTTTGACGATTTCCTGTGACACACCAGGATCTCACCACGTCGACGTCTTACTCATCGCACCCGATGACCTCCGACGGATTCAGCTGGAGTGCGTGGCGTCGGTGGAGGCGACAACTCCTTCCACGGTGTATTCCATGAAAGCTCACGAAGAAAGTCGTCAGTTAAATGGACAATTCTCCAACGACTGTACTACATTTGTAACTGACGATTGGTCGAAACTTGCCCACACACAGTCGCCAACCAATCAGGTAAAAATTAGACGGGAAAAGCATAAAACGTCGTGCAATCAAATAGAAGCTTATTGTTTAAGTTGTGTAGCAAGTACGGAATTTCGATTTCACCAATGGCGTGGCTATTTGAGATCTTGACAACACTGGTGCTCTGAAAAGATTTACAAAATAGTGGTCAAATCGGACACATATTTAGATGTACTCCAATGATTGCCAACAAGTTATATTCCATTGGACAAATGCATCTCTAGGCTGATATTTTCAGGATACGCTACGAGTGTGACTGTCTTTTGCGGTCACAGTCAGAGAGTGCTACTTTACATTGTCAGTAGTATATTTGAATCCGTCTAACATTACTCAAAGAATAACACTTTTGCATAACGTTTTAAATCTATGGAGAGCTGATTACTTACAATTAATCTTTTTGAAGACGGATCTAGAGTGTCTGCTGGGTGGAAGAATTGATATAAAATGTCGTGTTGGCAGATGCGTGCACACAGGCGGTACCGACAAAAGCCATGTTGTCACACTGTTACTTCCGAAGAACACCCTTCCGCGACGCCAAGTTTACCGTGTGGAGACGGACGTTCCAGCGAGAGTTCTGTCGTTTCCAGGCGATCACACCGAGGTCGTCACTCAGCCTAACCGCAGAGGCGAGTACAAACTCGCTGTTTCATTGGCTCGAAGTGGCACCTTCCACGGGATGCTCGTTTTCTCGCTTGTGGACCACGAGTTGACGGAGCACAGGTGAGATTCCATGTCGACTCATTCTCCGCGCATGAGTACCTTCTACACATGTGAAAGATGCATTTTCCGTCAATTTATAGACCAAAACATCGTCTGCACTACGAGCTGAATATTCGAATTAAATCGGGTACGATCTCTATCATAATGCCGTCTCGTCACTCCCTGTTCCAATTTATGCATATTGGTTGATAAATGTGTCCTATAGCTCCACCAATAGGAACGCTTGAAGTGGTCTGCCCGTGTTTGGAGGTGAAGGAAATCGTCTTGCCACTTAAATACCCCGATCTAAGGACTGGTGAACGTCTTCAAGTGATGTTGGATGGCCCCGACCTAAGTGGTCCAGATGTTGTAGAAGTTGACACCGACCAGTGCGAGTACATCGCTCAGTACCGACCGACGCGTCTTGGCACATCCGAGGCAAGGTAACGCTTTTCGAGTGAACGCATCTGTCAACATCACCAAATTCTGATTAAATTACCACGAAATTACAATAGACGCCAGTAATTTTCAAAATCCTATCACATTTTTACCATCGTCGTCTTTCCCTATCCATTAGGCGTGACAGTGCCACGCGTTGCCATGGCAATGACCAATCAGGTCTAAGGTCATCTCTTGACAATATTTGATTGGTGAACTTCAACTGGCACGCAACTGCCGCTGCAAATTCAATTTCTCACCATAATTTGCGGTAACAGAAAAACATGTGTTGGACTCAAAATGCTCTGGTAGCAATTTAAGTGGCAAGAGGTAGCAAGATTTACGCGCTAGTTTAATTGTGATCTGGTTGTGATTAATTGTAACGGAAGATTGAACGCACGTTTAGAATGACATTGCTTTGCCATATTCTAAATTCCTGCCCTTTCACATAACTGGAATACTGGCATATTTGTCGAGTTGAACACCTTACATCGCTGATTTATCTTAACTTAAGCTAAACTGGCTGCATTTCGACTTGCAGCCTCACGTTCTACAACCGGTTCACAAGCGAATTCTGGATCAGATTAATTTTAACTGCGCTTCCACCATTGCCCATTACAGTTGCCCCAGTGTCCTGCGAATTGGGCAGGTAGGCTAAGCTATTTCCCCCTAACATGCCTGTTTTTGCCTACCACGCGCACTCCGATTGGTTGCCCGTATCGATTTTTCAGAGCCATCGTGGATACCGTTAAAGTTGAAAATCCAACCGCTCAGCAATATCAACTGAATGCAGAGATTACCAACCCAGACGTCTATTCCATTGAATCGTTCTTTATGCAGGGAGAAGAGAAGGAATACCACGTGACGGACAATGGTATCTCCCTTCTCCCGCTTGCCACTCTTCGTTTAAATGTTGCCTTTCAACCGCAGGAATATGGAGAGGAGTTGAATGCAGGCGAGATCATTCTTCGGTGTACGGAGGTAAGTCATTCGGTATAATATCAAAGTGGAGTGTTTTCCCAGTTTTCTGTATTTGGTATGCACTGTCTACTGAAGCATTTTCAGTAGCAAGTAATTTAGTGTTGTGTGCGTCTAACTGCAGGCATCCTATATTAATCCTACTTTCGCTAAGATTTTGCAGTATTTGCGAATTAGAATGTAGGTTCTTCGGTCACAGGGCAATGCAGAATGTACATTTAGTTCAGCAAGTTCAAAGGCACATTTTGTTATAAGTACTACTTTAAACGTTATTAGTAGTACATCGATCAACACACACCGTACCTAAAAAAGAGTTGACCAAAAGTGTTCGACTGGTAAGTCACTTCTGCATTCCAGTTTCGTGAACTGCGTGTAGTTCTACGTGGCGAAGGTCTTCTTCCATCACCGACTCGAGAAGTAACCGTCAAGTCCGACGTCGAAGGGACGAAACGATTTTCAATACCGTTTGCTAATCCGTTCCCCTACACAATCGAAGTTACTCATTACGTCACAGCAAAAAAATGCAAAGATGCCCTCCTCGAGAGACATCTTGAAGCCTTTGAAGTCGTTGGAAAGAAGTGAGCTCCGAAGTGTTGAAAAAATATTAAAAATCAAGTTTTGGCAGTTTATTTGTTTTGTTTCAAATAAGTACAAATTAGTCGACCCCGAATTGTGTTAAAAATTTGGCTTTATGCACCTCGTGTAAGGTTTCCAATGCATCGATTTCATTGTAATTAAAATTGCGCCACCAATCATCATCGTTTGTCATGTTTGACAAACCATTACTGGTTGATTCTACTGTCCAATCACAGGCTGTGCATTTCCTATTGGTTAACCAATAATAAAACCTGTGGCTAGCAACATGTCCACAATCTAGTAACTTAAGCTTATGCCGGTAGATGACACGTTATCTGTGGAGTGGTTTCGGAAGCCCGAATTGTAGACCTAGTAGGTACAGAGGACCCTGGGAGTTTGTGCCTGCCTGCTCTTGTTTTATTCAGTCAAATAACCAAGACCGATTACTGTTTGCGAATTCCACCAATCGCTGAAGGGATTTTGCCCTAAATTGCACAGGTCACAACTGCTTCAAGCCAAACAGACCACGAATCTCCCGTGTGCCTTCACTCCCTCGCACATGCAAATCTATGAAGTTGTCTTCAACGTGGGCGTCAGAAAGCTCTCTCCAACAGACGGTGCGCCATGGAAACAACACGAAATCGTCTGGTCGTATCCTGTCAAGGTTAGTTAAACAACCACAACTGGCGGGTGATTGAAATGCTCATGTGTGGATTAAAACAACTGTTTGCTTCACTTCACAGGGCATAGCGGTTATGCGTGGCTTTCAAGAACCATCTCCACGCACACTCCTGAAGGAACACGTGTACCCCTGTGAAGAACCCACTCCGAACAGACCCGCTCGAATCGAGGGAGAAGCGAGAAGTTCGACGTCATTTCGGCTTTGTTTAAATCTGGCCGGTTACCTTGACAACCGAGAGAGGTGTGGAGAGGAAGGCAGCTTTACTTGGTCATTTTCAGTGCAGACGTCTGGCGATGACCTGTTAGATGCAGCAGCACTTGTCAACGTCTCTGTTAAGCTGAGACGGGAGTCTTGCACCGTGGATCCCATGACTGGTGTTGCAAATCTTGCATTCATCGGAACCTTCGAACCACCGAGGTCCTTTGAGTAAGTAGGAGCTTCTGGCCCTTGCCAAGTGGTGGCCCCTTTCAAATGCTGGCAGTGCATTTCAGAATTATGGCGACACTGAGTGTGACTTCGGTGATTGGCGGCGAATGGCAATTTCCAGTCTTCCTGCAGGCCAGACGGACTGAGTTGGTTGAAAGTAAAATCACCTTCTTCTCCGACAACCTGCACAAACCCATCCACAGGAATCTACTCCTGGACAGTGGGGAACCGTAAGCCTAAATTCTAACTTGTATATCCCGAGAAAAACGCTCTGGTTTTTGTTGTAGAACCTCGGCGAAGTTCAGAGTAATCTTTGTCAAACCGGGCGCCAGTGCGTTTTCACTCGCACATACATCAGGCGTGTTGCCACCTCAGGGGGCTGGATATTTCACTCTACAAATAACCTACGCACTCAAAAATTATGGACGGGTAACCAAGACGAAAATCGTCGTCCAGGTGAGTTGAAACTTGAGTAGTTCTACATATTTTAAATTCTTATGTAAGCGCACAACAATTGCTCTCAAATGGAAAGTTTCAGATCGGTAATATTGCCAATAATTTGACACTTGCTTCTCTCTAGAAATGGTATGAGAGCATGTACCTGTCACCAGTAGAAGCCCCTGTGTGCCTATTGGTCGAGAACATCGAAGTGCCGGATCGGCCTTTTGATTGGTTAGTAAAGGATCTTTCGCTGCTCTATGTGATTGGACAAAATGGAGAAGGTTTACTTGATTGTGAAACTGTGATCTAAACTAGTTTTTGGAGTTTACAGTGAGGACACATGCACAGGCATTAAATGTGTTGATATAATTTTAAATATACTGATTGATTCTTTTGTTACTAGACTCCAAGGAAGGAGTGGATCTACGATCTCATTGGTGAGGCTTGGCCTTGCAACCAGATATGCTAGATGAATCAGCAAGCAATTATGGAGGCTCTTTTTCGGATTTACACGGCTTCTACCTTACCCAGAAAACTATTCTTGCTTATCTTTCCAACGTCCTTGACTCAAAACCAACTATCAAAGCGCATTTTTTGAACATTTGAATATAAATAACTGTCATGGATCGAGGTTTCCACCGTCAGACTTCCGTCCACTGTGAAATTTATAAGTTTCGATAATTTGTAGTGAAGAACACCGAAACGCAACAGTGTAGACCTTATGTGGTGGTTCTTAATTAATCGAAACTGATTCATTTCACAGTTTTGAATCAGATAATCTGTCTAGCACCTCAACTTGATCTGGGCCACCATTAACGTTTTATCCGGTTTCTGATGAAAATCGGTTTTATTGTCGGCGTCATTCGAATCCGCAATCTGTGACTGAAACCGCCCGTTGTACTCTGCTAACATTAGTTTGTGGCCACTTACCAACGAGGCATGAGAAAATCAGCAAATGCTCTGAATTCACCTTCGAACCGCGGCAATTATCCTCTAAAACACTGCATTTCGTCGTCATTTTATTAGTATTGATTCAGTGAACTGGCCGGCCCCTAATGACCTGCACTCTCTTCATATTAAGTGGTAGATTTCTGGAGTTGTTTTTTTGCCTTTTCTAACTGACGCATTCTTCTACATAGGATTTGCTTTTAGCTAGTGAAAATTCATCACTGGTGGTAAACAATGTCGTTAAAACCCCACGTCCTCCGCTCTACTCTGTATTCTCGTTCATTTCAGTTTGCCTTCAATAATCTGTTCAAATGGACGATTTGATTTAGAAATTTATGGTTTTTTTGATTTGCTTGCGCATGTGGCTGTAAAAAGGTGTGTGGCGAGTAGCAAGCCAGCACAGCTGGCAGTCGTGAGCGATCGATCGATTCAATCGATTTTTTTCGTGAGCGCACTTCACGCAAATACGCGCGTGAAGAGATCGATGCTTGGCGAAGCTACGCAAACGCACTCGTCAGCCTGTACAACAGGACACCAGCGCTATCGCATCAATCAAGTACTTAAGCCACACGCCGTCTGCGTGTTTACACTTATTTCGGTCGGGCCTTGTCATCAACTAAGTAATTAATTACACCGCATTAGGTAATTAATTAATTGATGCATTATCAATCCTAGGTCAGGTGTGTTATTTAAATTTAATTTGGAAAGTGATTTATATTACTGCGGTAATAAGAGTTGCACGGAAGTATTTGAAAGTGAATGAGTTATCGTCGATTAAACTAAGACCACACAAATAATAATAACAATGTATTTCGAATTAAACCAATTATCGATTCATACACTCACCCATTCACGTTTCACCCAACCCGATGCAATCAGTTGATTTACTTAGCATCGATCGCAATCGAACCTCTGCCTGATTCAAATTTAAATACCGGGCTTAGTTAGAGACAAATCATGAGTTATCGACACAGGTAAAACCACCTCACACTACTTCGGATTAACTATCTACACGACGCGACGCGATGCGATGCGAGGCAAGGCGGTAAAGGAAGTAATTATCGACCGTGTAGCAAGTAAGTTGAAAATTGAAATTCACAATGAAGTATTGATGACTGATCCGTGTGTAATTAATGGAAACATCGGTCTTAGTTACTGATAAAGCTGTTATCGAGTGAATCTCAAAAACCAGCACACCAAACTATTTCAAATTAAAGCAGGCAACTTATGAATTATGAGTTTTGTTTGAAATACAAAATTAAAAATCAACTACTGATTAGTTGATCCCTGTTCAATTAAATGTAAAGGACAGGTCTTGTGTCAGTTAGAGAAATAGATCGTCATCATCATCATTACCATCATTATGATTATCATCACTATCACGATTACGACAGACATGATTATCATGATCACCATCATTATCACGAATGTAACTATAATCATCATCATCATCACCACTATCGTTAAAACGACTAACATTGCCATCATTATCGTCATCATCATGATCATGACTACCGTTATCATCATCGTTATTACCATTAACACGACCACTATTACCATCCCTATTGTCGCCAGCATCATGACTATCATCATGATGATCATCATGCTTATCACTACCATCAATACCATCACCACGGATACCAGTACTACCACCATCACACCTACCGTTCTCCCAACATCATCATTATCGCCATCATTATCATCATCACGGCCATCGTCATCACCATAGTTATGATCAATACAACTGACATGTTTGTTTAAAATTATCAGCTGTATCATTATCAGCACAGTGATTATCACCATAATGATTACCTTTATTATAGATATCATCATCAACATTATCACGGTGATCACCATCACCATCATCATCATTTTCAGGAACATCACCACCGGCCCCACCAGTATCATCATCACCATCCTTATCATCATCATCACCAACATGATCAATATCATGAATATCATCGTCATCGCAATCATTTCTATCATCATCATTGATACCTTTCGCACCATCATCGTTAAAAATATCATTTTCATGTTTTTCATTATCAGCGTTACCATCATTATCACCACCTTCGCCATCATTGCCATGATTACAACCACTGTCATCAGCATTATCACCCTCACCAGGATTGAACTCATCATTACACGATCGATAATAATAATAATAATAATGGTAACTGTGATGATAGTGACAAAGCGGAAAATCAGCACCGTTCAGTGTTGATTACTGACCTCTGTCTGATGCAATTTTTCTACCGGTTTTAATCACAGACATATGAGTCATCGATCAAAGTAAAACCACACTTCACCAAACTACGCTTTGCAACACTGCACTACGCCACACCACACAGCACTAAAATGCAGAACACTACAATACGCTACACTTCACTAAACTAAACCACACCAAACCACACTAAACCACACCACACTAAACCACACCACACCAAACCACACTAAACCACACCACACCACATCAAACCACACTAAATCACACAACACTAAACCACACCACACTAAACCACACCACACCACACCAAACTAAACCACACCACACCAAACCACACCACACTAAACCACACCACACCAAACCACACCACACCAAACTAAACCACACGACGCCACACCACATCAAACCACACCACACTAAACCACACCACACCACATCAAACCACACTACACCACACCACACTTAAACCATTATTTGGGTTTCGAAGGAAAAAGAAACTTACATCATGATTACGCAGAAAATACATGTACAAACAAGCTTCCTACCAAATGTCGATTACGATGATGATGATGATGGTTGTGATAGTGGTATTGTTGATGATGGTGGCGGAGGTGATGATGAAGATGACGATGTCAATTGTGGTGATGGTGTTGATGAATGTGGCGGTTGTTGATGATGTTGATGGTGATGATGATAATGATGGTGGTGGCGGTGGCGGGGTGGTGATGAGCATGATAATCTGTTTCAGTCAAACCAATTAAAATCGAATTAAACAAATTACGAAGAAAATCTGAACCAAATCCGTTAACTCTCATCCAGGCTATCGGCCAAATACGGAAAAAAATAAAGAATCTAAGGTAAAGTAATAATCGAAGAAAAGTCTCACAATAAATGAAACAGTAAATAAAATTAAAACTAATCGTTTATCGATGCAATTTACATGATAATAATAATAATAATAATTCGTGATTCGAATTGAATTAATGATCAACCCAATTTGAGGTATTTTACCAATTACAGAAATTGAAATTTAAGATTACAGACGTATTTTTGAACCCTGTATTCTCACACCAAATCATTGTCTTTTTTTATGAAATTTAAACAATGTATGAAAGAAAGAACGAATTCGTGCACAATTAATCAAGTACTGTACGGTGTCAATGAAATTCAAAATCTATCAATTAAAATTGATTTACACAAATAATCAACAAAAACTGCGCAAACTCAGCTTACTCCCCCCTTCCAGGCAACCGACCCAATACGAAAAACATTGCAAAATTGAACAAATTCTTGCTTTGAAGTAGACCAAAGGATTTCAAAAAAATTCTTTTCTCATCGATTTTCAATTAAATATAGCATCCCGATTTCTACAAAAAATGCACACCTACAAACCAACGTCCTATCAAATACCCATGATGGTGGTGATCATGAAAATGATGATAATGATGATGATTACCAGTTAACTCTAATCCAAGCTAACAACGAAATGCGAAAGCACTAAAGGAATTAAACAAATTCTTGGTCCAAGTTACACCGAAGCACTTAAAAATCTATTCGGAAATCGATCGGAAAGGAATTCTGATTAGAATTTTGTACAGAAAATACAACCACAATCCCACTTTTTATCAAATATCGATGACGACGATGATAGTGATGCTGGTGACGACGGTGGTGGTGATTGTTGTGATTTTGTTCATAATGATGACGACGGTAGTGGTGTTTGTGGTGGTGATGTTGATGATTGTTATAATGATGGAGATGATGGCGGTGTTTGTTCTTGTGACGATGATGATGGTGGGGGTGGTGACGATTTTGATGATGACGGTTGCGACGATTGTTATGATGATTATGATGACGACGATTTTTGATGATGTTGATGACGATGATGGTGGCGACGTTGATGATGATAGTGGGGGTGGTGACGACGTTGATGATAGTGGGGCTGGTTGCGATGATTTTGATGATCTTGATGATGGTGGTGGTGATGATGACGATGAAGATGATTGTTGGTGATGGTGTTGATGACGATGATGGTGGTCGTGATGATGACCGCGACGATTGTTATGATGATGATGATGACTATTGTCGGTGATGATGTTGATGATGTTGGCGTTGATGACGACGGCGGTGTTGATGATGATGTTGATGGTGGCGGCGGTGCTGATGACGATGGTGGTTATGGCGCTAATGATGTTGATAATGGTGGTGGTGATAATGGCGGTGGCGTTGGTGATAATGATGGCGGTGCAGTTGGTGATGATGCTGATGATGGCGGTGATAATGATGATGAATTCACGAAATTAACAAATCTCTTAATCAAACTAAGGTGCGTCATTATTCATCCGCCCATCGTCCCAGTGAGAATTAAGGTAAGGTAAATCAAATTGTCGTTCCAAGTCAAATCATTCAGACCAATTTAAAATGAGCTAATTCATAATACGATTGAAATCCTATTCATGATATGTGATTGTTCGTCAATCCAAGTAAAATCACCTCCAAACTAATTATTCACGAACTACTGCCAAGTAATTTATTTTTCAAGTACACAAGTCATGTCTCCTCCACACCCTTTTTGCAAAGATGCATTCCCCTCGCGACCGCAGGGTCTGAGATTATACCCTCACTACTAGCGCAATATCACTAGACACGTTTTTACGCCTCGACACCTGCCCCATAACGTGAGGTATTCCAGTTCACGCGCATTTGTTAATCAAACAGATTCTGCCTACTTACAGGTATTCAGCAGTGATTTAATCTACACCGCGACACCATATCTCCCCCCAACACCATATCTTCCAAACAGTCGTACAGTCGGTCAGTGATACGTGGTACTACTCACGGCAATTCAGCAGTCATCATCACCATACTTACACCTAGACAAGCTCACGCCCATTCAGGCACTATTCCACGTACCCCTTCTCCTTGAGGGGTATGTTTTTGCCCGCCTCCCACCCCCACAACCTCCTTAGGCTATTACTGTCCGTATAACGGAAGCTCAAAAACGGGTTATACAGTATTATGCCAAAAAAATAGCCTCTCCTACCACCCAAACACCTCACATTACTTGACGCACCAAAACTATCAGAACCATTTACTCACCCTCGCCGCAGGGATCTCATCCCCCTCACCCTCACTCTCCTCCTCCTCCTCCTTCTTCCCTTCCTTCCCTCCCGCCTTCTCCGTTGCCTTCTTCTTCCACCAGTCCAGTCCACTGCACTGAGTTGTCCTAGGAAGAGAAAGCTGATGTCACTGGCGCACCGGAGCACTCACAAAGCCTCCATCCTCCCCAGGAGTTGGTCTCTGTTTCCGACAAAACCATGAGGAGAGGTAATACATTAGACCGCACAGCAACCACCAAGCTCATTAACGTGCAACTTTGGGGGTGATACGCCGCCCCACTGAAGCGCCATATCTGCCACAAGGACTGATGCTATGCCGAAAACTCACCTTTACCACGCCACGCCACACAATTCGACCAAGTCGCTGTGGTGTCCCGCCGAACCTGCCATCGTCCCAAGCCACACCACCATCGCAACTTCTCGCACGCACGCACGCACACCACGCTGTCCAATTCACTCGATGACGAAGGTCAGGCAGGAGAAGCAGAAGAAGACGCAGAAGAAGACTGCAAACTCTTCTACCTAAACCATCAAATCACACTGACAAAACGCACTGCATACCACTGTCTGCTCGACCACTGCCAACACGACCCCACACCAGCCCACTCACCATCACACTGGAGCATCCGCTGCTGTCTCCTCCACAACCTACAGCATCCACAACCAATCAAATTGCTCAGCCAATTACAGACTCAAATCTTCTCACGAACAACCACTCACAACCTACGAACCACTGGGTGCGTGCGCCAATCACAGCGGAGCCAAGGCAACATCCC